TTTCAAGCATTTCAGATGAGGGATACTAAGCCTGTTTTGAATTCTATGCACTGATGCTTTCCCAGTGGGTGGACATTGGTTAAAGGCTACATTTTCCAGGTTACACTACCCTCTTGGTGGTATAGACCTTCAACTGGGGCCAGAATACATGCTGTTCTTTTGCCTATGTTTTTCAGTTGCCAAAAACTGACAAGTTGCTTTTTTATTTTCTAATGAACTATACAGTTTCAACCACATTGTCATTGCATCAAGTCCAACTGGCTCCCCGACTTCACATTCCCTTTCCATTTCCCATTGCACCCCCACTTCTTTTCATGTACTCTATGCTCTTCATCACTTTCTGCCCTTTCTTCCAGAAGCACTCCACATATCCTCAGACCTCTTTCCCTACTCCCATCCTCTAACTGGAATGCACCTCTGTTCCCTTCCTGGCTGAGGCTTCCATTCCCCTAGTCTTCAGCTTTCTGAAATCCTCCTTGTCCATCTTTTCAGTATCAGATTGCAAAACCATTCCCCTGTGACGCCTTCCCAGATCCTACAGTCAAAATTAAACCCTCCAGTCTTTTCCTGGCAGTGATTTTTCCTCTTGTGTTGCATGTGGTTTCCTTGTATCATATTTAATGCCCTCTTCTAACTCCACCAGATGCTCAAGTCCTCGAGGCAGGGTGTATTCCTCCAGTTGGCACAGTCCTTGGCAAATAAGCACTTGGAAAATTCTTGTTAACTGGAATAAAATACACAGTTATTGAACATGATGATCTTGACTAATTGAATCACTAGAGTGGCTGCTCTAGCAGTTGATGATGAACTCTTTTCTCTTAGATATCTAATTCTTTGCCCCAAAGATCCCAGCTCAAAGGTGTATAGAGCAGGTGTTTGTTGAATGCTTAATGGTTTGGTTTGGCCAAGGAGCCTATTAGTGTCAGCACTAACGTTTCAATGTCCTCTCTGAGCTTCTGCTCAAAGGGTTACTACATTCTATACATCCAGGATGTATGTTGTTGCTGCTGCTTCCAAAATGGCTGAAGGGCTTAAGGACACCTTTAACGCATTAGGTATGCCTGCCTAGCTTGTAATTGCCTCACTCCAACTTGCTACTCCTGATATCAGTTTGCAAGTCTTATTCTCCGCCACATTGGGGATACTGGGCCCTCCAGGCTCAGACTCTAGGCTTTCTTCTGAGACTGCAGCAGGCTAGATGGCTCTCTGTCGAACCTTCAGGAAGTCTTGCAGTGTTGCTTAGCTAAATGCTCAAGGAAGCAGAGGTGCAGACTGAGTGGATCTAAGCTTCACACATGACCTGTGCCCAATTGTTGCTTACTAGTTCTCAGGTAAGCCTTGTCAATGGTGATACCACACTGCCTCTGCCGGTCTCCCTTGAGTCATACGGTCTACCTGATTTGTCACTCAGGTTCCTTATAGATTAAGCAATCAATGAACAGTGTGTGGTCCAAGCAGCCAAATTAGGTAGTAGCTTTCGCTCTCTGCTGCCGATACAATTCTTTGGGTGTGTTTAGGTTTCTCTTATAGATTGGACTACACGAAGAGACTAGAATTTTTCTTAATATGTGACTTGCTGTCAATTGGTATGTACAATATGTCAGTATGTACAGTATACTAATTGTATAGTTAGTATATTTATACATATTTTAACTATATATTAAACTGCCTAATAAAATTAGATTAAGATATCATATATGTACATCTTAAAGTGAAAAGACAATTTCCACAATCCATACAGGCAAACCTTTGTGAAGAGTTCCACTCCCTTTCTCTGAAAGGAAAAGGAGGAAGGGCACTGGTGTTCATCAGGCTGGCAATTTCCATGTGTCATTAGTGACAACAATATGTGAGGTGGGGTTGTTATATTCATATAAAGATAAACCCAAATCTCAGAAATTGAACATAACAAAATCAAGTCTCAATCAGGTGACAAAAGACATCTGTGCTGCTGGTGGATGGGCCACTCCCTGCTGTGCCATCGCTTCTCCCTGTGACCACAAATTGTGCTCTAGTGATGAGGATGTTCACGGGTCTGCATCCCAAGAAATTATTTTCTGTTCTTGTTGGTGGATTCTTCAACACACCATGGGCCTCAGGTGCTCTCCTGATTTGGGCGATATTGTTTTTTCTCATTTCTCTCATGAACTGCTCATCTAGCTCTTTGGGGACCTTTTCTCAGAAGCACTTAAAAATTTAAAAATCTGTATCCCATTTTTTCCTTTACAGTTTTATTTCTTGGACTTTAAAATATGAAGAGAAATACACACATCCTGTGAGGCAGAATAATACAAGTCATCTGTCTCCCACTCCACTTCCATTCCAGTCCCCTTTTGAAGTAACACATTTTTTGAAATAACTTTAAACTTAATACACAGAGTGATTATATTTTTATCTAGACTCACTAATTTTTAATGTTTTTCCACATTTGTTTTATCACTCTTCCTCTCTTTCTCCCTCTCTGTAAAAATATTGTTTTTTGAAACATTTGGAAGGAGTTGCATAATTTATACCCCTTTGCATGTTAATAATTTAGTTGTATATTTTCTAAAACTGAGAGTATTGGTCATAATTTCTCGGTAGTCTCCTTTATTTTGGAACAATTACTAATCTTCACTGTCTTTCTGTTATATAATTTATAGATGGCAGTATGATTCAGAATTTAGGTTGAAGTGTCTGTATTATAAAATGTTTTAAATACATTAAATTGTAATATATAAATGTTATTATAAAATTATAATAAAAATATGCATATTGTGTTTTATAATTTGTAACATGATTAAAATTAATAAATATAAAAAAGCATTATAAAGATATAACATATTATATGTAAACACATAATACATAATGTATAAATATTTAAAATGTATGAAATTTAATGTATTGCAAATATGTAATATATGCATGCATATATATAATACACTTATATGTGTATACTTATATACATATATATGTTTACTTATATGTGCATATTATATATGCAATATTATGACAATAGATTATTAAAAGTTGTAATTAGTAATCATGATGTAATATAAACCAGAATAAATTAAAAGGTAATAAAAGTTTAGTGTTATAAAATACTAATATAAAATTTTATATAGATTTTATATATTACTATATATGATATATTATTAATTATCATATTTACTAGCATATTTATATCTGTTTTTATAGAATGATGCTGTGAGTTTGCTTTGTTTTTTTTCATGATTATATTCAGGTTATATATTCTTGGCTAGAATATATAATGTATAAATGAGGCATCCTTCTCAGGGTGGTGATTTTGATTGCCTAGTGAATGTGTAATGTAATGTAACACATTATCTCCATTATGTAATTAATTCTTTTTATTTTTCTAGAGAAGTAGTCAGTGGGGAAGATGTTGAAGTCATGCTAATATCTCTCACTTCAGGAAACTTTACTGTTCTAGATTTAGCATATATTTTCAAAAAAACTTTAAAATTTGTTTTTAGGTAAACATGACAGTAAAGTATATATTGACATATTATACATACATGGAATATAACTTCCCATTCTGTGGTTGTACATGATGTGGATTTTTTCACATACGAACATAGGAAATATGCCAATTCATTCTACTCTTTCCTATTCCCCTTCCCCCTCCCTTCCCTTCATTCCCCTCTGTCTAATCCAGTAGCTCAGTGGTAGAGCATTTGACTGCATCTATTGTTTTATTTGTTTTTGTTTTTGTGTTTTGTGATACTAGGGATCCAATCCAGGGTAGTGCACATGCTTCGCAAGCACTCTACCACTGAACTACACCCTGCCCTATTGATATTTTTGGTATTCATGCTCTATCTAGCCTTTTCTTTTTGGCAGCAAAAATGTTTTTTTCACCTCCCTTATTTCCCCCACATTCATTAGCTTTTCAGTGAAACCAGAGCTCTCCTTCTTTCCCATCCATTTGCTTGCTCTCGGTAGGCATGCACTTCTATATGTATCCATTCTTTCATTATTTGTATATTAAACAAATGGACTCACAGGTTTCTGTTTTCAGTGGATTATAATAAATCATGGTCCTTACTTATTTTGGTATTCAAATTGTCTCAGGTTTGGTCAGTGGGAGCCCCTTGTTGCTGGCTTCTGTGACCTTTTGACTTTAATTTTTTAGGTCCTTTTTTACTGCTATGAGAAGATGATAGAAACTTTTCTTGATTCTTTCCACCCTCATCTCAGTAATCAGCCCTTTTTCCAAGGAGCCAATGTTCTCTTGAATGGGGACTGATTTTGGGTGTGCCAGGAAGTTACTTTGCTACTTTTTAGCCAGTGCAGTGGCAGATCTTAGAAATATGCACACGTGTGTGCACATGTGTACACACACCCACACACATACACACACAGACATACACATAAACTTGCATATGCATATACACAATTGCATGAACATATACTCTGGTGGAATGATTGTTAGTTCAAACTTATTCCCTTTCTTGTCCAAAATATTGATTCCTCAGCTTACTTTTTCCTTCTATTCTATAAATATATAAGTATCCTCTGCTTCATTACCACTGTGGTATCCAAAGATTAGGAGTGTCACACATTCCATTACTGCTCAAAAGAATATTTATTTTATTTTTATGATACTGGGGATTGAACCCAGGTCTTGTATGTGCTAGGCAAGTGCTCTATCCCTGAACAACACCCCAGCCCTCTTTTTAAGATTTGAAAATAATAATAATAAATGAATAAGCTTTGATGCTATAAATTGATCCTCTTTACAAGAGAAGTTAAAAATAAAGTTAAGCATGAAAATCTTGCCACTTCTTCTTTTTCTCCTTCTGTAAGCTTATTGTTAATTCTTACTGATCAGAGGTAGTTAGTCATGTCAGAATTTGAAGAATAATATGTATTCTATTTTATTATACTACACTATTTTGTACATGATATTATTCATCTACAAACAAAGACATTTCTGTGAGATTTTTCTGGCAGAATATTCTGAGTTTTTGAATTTTTCTTTGTGTTAAACTTCATAGGTGGCTGGGATTGTTGGCAGAGCTGACGTGTTAGCGTGTCTCCTGTTCCTGTTGGCCTTCCTCTCCTACAATAGGTACGTATGGCTCAGCAAGCCCTCCTCTGTGATTATAGCCATGCTGTGTGTGTAGAGTGAGCATCTGCTTGGAGAGAAGGGAGGCTTCAGGGTGATACTGTGCTCATGAGCTCCAGGGATAAAAACTCTCTTTTTATCCAATACTGGCCGGTTGTCTCTTCTAGCCCCATGCTGAACCATATCCTATCATTTATAAAAGAGTATTTTCCCCCCAGTTCTAGAAATCCAAGCTCTTGCTTCTTGATTCCTTTTACTGGTAGTTTCTGCCTGAGAATGGAATTTGGAATCTTAGCTCTGAGCCAAAATATACTGGGCACAGTGTTCTATTCTATTTGCCTATGATTTGCTTAATTTCTCCTTTTCATTTTGGTCCTGATTGTTTCTCCTCTTTATCATCCTCACCAAAGTAGCTCAAAGCTTAAAATAACAAGGCTAAGCAGAAAGTAGTGTTTTTCAACTATAGTTGTACAATTTATAATCCTTTCTTTGAAATACAGACATTCTTTGCTTTGGGAAAACAGAAAGCAATAAAATAATTTTCTGTTCAATTGTGCCTTTACTCTCCAAACCATGAGATTCTTACTTGATTTGTGACATGTCTACATAAGGCAGGAGTTGAAAAGAGAATGTGGGAAAGGGTAGAGTGCTCAGAGTGTGGCCCAGGAAAGCGGGTGGGTTAGTCATGTCACCTTGCTCGGTGGAGAGAGGCCTGGTTAAGGATTTGTGAACTGTGAACTTTTGATCAGTTCATTGACCTGTGATCTTTCGGAGTCCAGTGACTGAGGAACACTGTTCTAACCCAGTGGTTCTTAATTAGGAGTGATTTCTTTTCATTCCCCAGCCACCATTCCCCCACTCCCTCCAGGAACATTTGGCACTATCTGGAGACAGTTTTGCTTGTCCCAACCCAAGAAGTGCTTCTGGTACCTAGGGGTAGAGGCCAAGAATGCTGTTAAATAAACATCCTACAATGCACAGGATAGGCCCTGCAGCAAAGAATTATCTGGTTGAAAAATGCCAATGGTGCTGAGACAGAGGAACCCTGTTATAAACCAATTTAGACCTTGGATCAAGAATGAAATGAATCAGCTTTTTTTTTTTTTTTTTTTAAGGGCGGAGCATTTTTTTTAGTGCAATATCCATTTCCAGGTTCTGGCTTTGCATTCGCAATCATATGAACAGTATAATGAAATCTTAAAAAGCCCAAATTTAACAATGAATTGTTTCCTGTTTACTCTGGTGTTAGACAGGAATTACTCACTTTAATTTAAACTTGTTTCTAGGGCTTTTTGTGTGTGTTTGATACATTTGGGAAAAATGACTGATTAGCCCTGCAGCCTGTCCATATTGGTGTGATAATGAGTCTTATTATTATAGGTTGGACGTGCATGCCCTGCTTACCTTTAGAAATTTGAGCTGTAGACAGAAAATGCATAGAAAAATGCACAATTACTGTAAATTCTGCATAAATCTTATGTAATTATTCAAAGATGCAATAGTAAGAAGAAGATACCACAAGAAGTTTTAGCCTTTACTTTAAAGAAATAGGATCCCAGGGTTGGCAACTGTCAAAGAGAACAATGCTATTTCTTGGGGTCAATTGTATTTTGTAAGGTGGAAAGAAAGACTTTTATACCACTACAGAATTTTTGAAAATTTCTATTGGAGATTTAATCGAGAAAAAATAACTTCATCTAACACATGCTCATGGAAAGTAAATTTAAAAATATTAATTAGCAAAAAGAAAATTAAAATGTGAAGAATATTTGTTTTTCCTTTCCAGAGAAAAAAGCTACTATATTTTGGTATAATTAATTATCTACTGATTGCTTTGTGTATAGAACACCTAAAAACACTTGACTCATAATAAAAAAACACTTGACTCATAATAATGTGATGATAAACACTTGACATGTAATAAGTCATTTCTTCAATGCCCCCAGTAATGCTAGACTCCCATTTCACACATAAGGGGACCAAAGCACAGGGGGCAAAGTAACTTGCTCTCTCACTTCTTTGTTAACTGCAGAGCTGTGATTTGAGCCAGAGACCATGGCTCCAGAGCTCATGCAGGTTGTTTAGTAACCTGTATTATTCATCTACAATGTATTCACTTAATGTCTTCTTTTCTCTCTAACTATAGCTCTATGATGACATTTTAAATGACTTTTGAATGTTCACTTATGACATACCATATTTTATCATAATTTACATCCATATTTACATACTATTACATGCCACATTTTATCCTAATTTATATGTACCATAATTTAAGTACTCAAATTTAAGTACTCCTGTTGAGTACATTAACTTTTTTTCATCTTAGTAATTTTAATTCCATGATGAATACTGTGGAAGAAATCTTGACTCACTTAATTGCTTAGGATGCAAAGAAATTGACTACCTTTTATCTTTTAAGGTAATATTTCTTAGTGACCCACATTTCTTAATTTAAAAGAACATCCACCTTGTTTTCCAGGAGTCTGGATCAGTGTTGTGCTGGGGAATGTTTCCCTCCCACGGCTTCTCCCTCCTTCTTGCTGCTCAGTTTGTTTCTGGGGACCTGTGCCATGCTGGTGAAAGAGACAGGAATCACCGTGTTTGGAGTGTGCTTGGTTTATGACCTCTTCTCCCTCTCCCACAAGCAAGACATGACGTAAGTCATTTTAAAGTTCTGACATTAGGCGTTGCCTAGGGAGAAAATGACTGAAAAAAACGTATGGTTTTCCACTTCTGTTTAAAAAATATATAAGTACTTTGTCTCACCTTAGACCATAATACAATAAACATGACTTACTTCATTAAGATAAATGCATTGTATCTGTTTAGCCTCTTCACAGTTTTATAAAGTTCAATAAAGACTATGCAATTTTGGGTGGTCCCAAATTTGGAATTGAAAAGTATCTTTGTTAACTGCAAGTTCAGACTGCTGGGTTGTTTTTGCTGCATCCTGTTGAGAAAAGCTTGATTCACACAGGGAGGTTACAAATGCTAATAGTTTTGACAGCTTGCTTTGAATCTCTGAATTCAAATGAGTATTATCCACCTAAGAGTACTGCTCACTTGGAGCCTGTTTTCTCTCTCTAGTAGTGACAGTACTTAAGAGTTTTAGGAAGTGCCTCTTAAAATTCCATGAAGAGCGAGTTGAAACCATATAGGAATACTTACATGTCATTTTCCAGTTAAAGAACAAGCTTACCTAGTAACCCATTTTCATTTAAAAACTTTAAGGCACGTTCATTTTATTCAGTGGTTTGTAGATAATAAGAATCACTAAGGCATATTAAAACTTCAAGTACATACCATAATTTTCTTCCTCTATCAAATCTATAATTACCAACTTTACTAATTTTACACATAAACCCTATTTTTCAGTAATCATAAGTCCCTTATTTTTGAACTTTTAAAAATGTAGCTAATTTATTCTTCTGCTTTGTCAAATGAAGAATTAAAAAAAAAAGTCCTGTTTCTTTGTGCCATTCCCTATCTCTTTATACTTCTTAACATAAAGATATGAGCAACGCTATTGATTGGCAATGGGTTGGGGTGAGTCATTTAATTCTGATCACCTTTCTGCCTGGGAAACTTGGAGATAATTTAAATACAGTCTCGCTCTCTGTTAGCTCTCTGCAATCTCAGAGACATAAAAGGAAGGAACCCAGTGATCACCTTGTCCAAGCTCCCACCAAGAAAACTGGGAGCCGCAGGCCCTGCTTGACTTAGGCGAGGATGCCTTTCCTCTACCTTTACAGCTCATGGGAGTAATCTCAGTTGCCTGCCCCACATTTTGGAGAACAATCTACAGATCCCTCTTGCTTCCCACTTCTTGCATCACCTCATCTTTGTCTCCAAACTTATTCCTGCTTTGCCTCACTGACAATATAGGGCTGTAACAACTGATCACAGATGCACCTTCTCCTGTACACCAGTCCAGAGCTGTTTGAATGCCCTCACTAAAGTCCTATCTCCTTTGGTCTTGGGATTCTTCAACCCTCTGTTGACTGCCTTCCTTTCTCTCTCCCTCCTGTCATTGTTGAACCAAGCTTTTCTCAAAAAGGATAATTGTCTCTTTTCTTTCTTTAATAATCTGCCCTCATCATACAAACTTGCTTGAGGTTCCATGGAAGGAGTAACACTGATGATATAGAGTTTCGATTTGTGTACACAGCACATTTTTTAGTCCTCAAACCCAGCAGCACTATGTAATTGGAGGAATTTTTTCTTTCCTTCATGCTTTTGTCCACCCATTCAACCCATAGCTTATTCTGTGCCTGAACAAGAACAAGACAGAGTTCCTTCCCTCAAACAGCATAGAGGCTGCTGGGCGGACAGACATCAAACAATTACACAGGTGATTGATGAAAGGCGGTAGGCAGGATATGGGAGCATTTGACAAGGAGACTTGGCCCTGGGTAGTTGGCGTGCCTTGAGTGCTGACTGGGCACTAGGTTCTGTGCCACACCATTTGCTCTCAGTGACTGTGGTCTTCATTTCACAGAGGAAAAAGCAGGCTCAGAAAGCACCTCCCCACAGCTACTCAATCCAGGTGCAACCAGGATTGGACCCACATCTGATGTGTGGCTCTAGAGCCATGAAATGATCTCTGAGCACCACTGGATCTATGGAAAGAGCACAGGACAGGGATTTAGGAGACTGCAGGATGTCCCTGCTCACGCTCTATGAGATTCTTGACACCAGCTCGGAGGTTCTGAGCATTTGGAGGTTCATGAATCTCTTTGAGAATTTCATGAGGTTGTAAGAAGGCACACATGCACTGAGTTGCACAGATCTTTAGGAGTCTGCCCCCTCTTTACTCTTTATGTGCTCATTTAGAATAAGCATCTTGGTGCTAGGTGGTCTTTCCTTGTGTTATCCAGCAGCAGAAAGAAGGAGTCATAGAAGTAAATATTGGAAGCACTTTCCTTTCAGAAGAGTAATCTATTCCTAAACCTTGGTTTGGACTACATGAATGGAGTAGGATTTCTTTTATTTGACATCACCTTTAGGAGGAAACATTTAAAGGAAAAGTTCAACCCATGAAAGTTAGCTTTTCTTTTCTTTCTTTTTTTTTTTTTTAAAGTGAGGATGTAATTTTTAACATGTAGAAAATGACATTCTCTGACCTGAGTTCCTACCCTCTTTCTGCAAAGATAAACATAATTCTGAATTTGACACTTTTTATTTTTAGGGCATTATTTCTTATATATACACAGTGAATATTAAGTCATAGTATTTTGAAACTTTTCATGAATGTTATCACTTTTGTTTTTCATTTATCATTAGGCTTTTTAGATACATCAGTGTTGATGTATGTAGCTATATTTCATTCATTTTTACTGCTCTATAATGTTTAATTATCATAATTTAGCCATCATTCTAATTTTGTAGTTCAGGCTATCCACATTTATACTCTTATAAACTGCTGCAATGAGGTTCTTGTGCATGTGTTCTTGTGCAAATACACGAGGCTTTCTCTCTGGTACAACTGTTGAAGTGGAGCTGCTAGGTCAGAAACATGTTCACTGGGTCACATCCTGAGTCATTGCTTGTGAAATGACTATAGCGGTCATGGAGAATCACTTTTGTTTCATATTCACGGCATCATTTGCAAGTATCTCACTTTTAAATTTTTGTCCATCTGGTGATTACAAATTTTATCTCAGAGGATTCATAATAGAAAATGTAATAAGAGTACATCAGATGGCCCAGCTATGAACATTTATTTGATAAGATCATCATAATGTCTAATCCTGAATACCACCAAAATCAAATATTATGAGAAGACCATAGTTGGAATGTGAGGGGTAAAGAAGTGTGTTTGTCTGTGGGTGCCTTGGTGACCACCTACAGGGGACTAAGTTCTGATCTTCTGGAAATCAATATGATAAGCTGTAAAACTGATTAAAATAAATAATAATGTAATTATGTTTTAAATATATATATATATATATATATATATATATATATATTAGTAACTACCAGAAGCAAAGGGCTCAGAGACTTGGGAATGGTTGCTTCTAGGGAGTAGGACCTGGGGGTTGGGGCAGGGTGCTGGTGTTTTGGTTGCCAGCCTGGTCATTCCCTTTGACTTTGTTTCTCCTCCCTTCTGTGCACAATTAGGAGCAACGGGGTCATCCATCAGCATAGCCTACAGCAGCCTGGGAGCCCCCAGCCCTCCTCACTGCCAGCCCACTCCCACCGGGAGAACGGGAAACAGCGGTTCCCTCACAAAGGAGCGTGGGGTGGCTGCCATTCCTCACTTACACCAGCACCCAAGAGCAGTGGATTCCCGGTGTCACCGCGAGCTGTGTGGTCCCTGATGAGGTACTGGCCTGGGTTTCTTGGCTGTGCATGTTTTCAGTGTCCAGTATCTTATAGTGCCACCTGTGATGCTGGAAAAATAAAGCCTTGAGTCGACTCTTTGAGATCCCCTTTTCTCCACATTTCCCTCCTTTTCCTTTCCTTCTCTCCTTCCCTTCCTCCCTTCCTTCTTAGCCTATATTAGATTGGATGAGAAAGGAATAGCTAGGGGATGCAGGGTGGTCTGTGATACCTCACCTACCTTTTTTCTGGGGGAGGAAGGTGCTCTCCCACTACCCCCTCTCTTCCCTGCTCTTTTTGTTTGCCATGAAGTTAGTACAGCCCAAGTATGGGAGGAAGTCCAGGGGACTCTACTCCTCTAGCATTTTAGAAGATGCAGGAAAATTGAGTATGAAATGTTTATTCTTTTTCTTTCTTTTTTTGAATATTTTAACTTAGCCATGAAAATTAGCAGTATTTTTCAGCACAGGTGTGCTCAACTAAATTACATTGCTTCACAAATAGCTCAAACCATGGGCAAGTCAGAATTTAGCACACATTTGTTAAAAGATATATAGACATTTCACAGTTTTAAAGGGTTTCTTTGAGCAGTGATTAGTGAATTGCCAGTCCAAACCACAGCTGGTCTGAGACGCTAATGCAGGGGAATGAAGAGGAGACCTTTACAGGGCGAATACAGAAGCAGAGCAGAGAAATACTTGATGGGTTAAAGTGTGGCAGTATCCTTATTTAGATCATTCCAGGGGAAAGTCCCTAGTTAGAGATCAGTTGATGATTTCTGATTGGTTAAGCTAGAGTTTCACGTTGCCATTTCCTCTAAGTTGTGTTTTGGTTTGCTTATGTAAAGTCCAGGGTGCTAGAGCAGCCTCAGCTGAATGGCCTCCCAATTATTTTGACATATGGAACTTCTGTTCATACTGTTAACACTTTACTACTTTAGATTCCTATTCTTATTTTTCTGTGTGGTCCATTAAAACTTTATCCTCTCAGGGTCTTTGTTTTTAATAATTCCCAGTTTTGGTGATCTCTCCAACCCCCTTCATTCCTAGGGACTGAACCCAGGGCTTTACCCATGCTAGGCAAGCTCTTTACTGTATAGCTACAGTCCTAGTCTGCTTTGCTATTTTTAATTTTTTAACACTCATTGATTGAGTGTTTGCTTGCTTGCTGGATTCATTAGTGTCTACTGAGTGTCTGACATGAGTCAGGCAAGTTCTAGGCACCAGAAATGTCCTAGCAAATATGGAGAACTAGCTGCTTGCTTTTGTATGGCCTTCCTTCTGGTGAGAAAGACATACAGTAAACACTCAACAATGAATGAACAATGTGAATGCTAAGCAGAGTGTGAAGCTGGAGGTGATGAAGAATTACTGGTGGGTCTGGGGGAATTTGGTTGGCAGGTCAGGGAAGGCCCCTTCAATGCTGAATGAGGTGAGGAGCCAGCCCTGCAAAGATCTGGGTAGAGAAGTTTCAGCTTGAGAATGATGAGAAAGTGGGATATTGTTGGGGGTGGGCAGGGCCCAGGAAATAAAAGGCCATATTTGTCGTAAAAGCAAGTGCGGGTTATACTCTGGATTCATTCAGAAGATGTGTTAGTTGTTAGTTGCTGTGACCAAAATACCTGACTAGAACAACTTAAAAGAGGAAAAGTTTATTCTGGTTCCTAGTGTCAAAGCCTTGGTTGGCCGATTCCATTGCCCTGTGCTTGAGGTGAGACAGAACATCATGGCACAAAGGCATGGTGGAAGAAAGCCACTTCAGCTCATGGCAGCTAGGAAGCAAACAGAGGGAGAGGGAGACAGAGGAACCAGGACAAGATATAGTCCATGCCATGCCCCCTGTGACCAACTTCTTCTATCTACCTCCACCTGCCTATAGTTACCACCTAATACTCCATTCAGATTATTAATCCATCAAGTGAATTAACCCACTGATGAGGTTATACCCTGTATGATTTAACCATGGTCTAAAAGCTTAACCTCTAAATCGTGCTATACTGGGGACCATTGCTTTCAAAACACGAGCTTTTCCAGGGGCATTTCTACATCCAAACCATAACAGAAAACATTGGAGGTTTTATTTTAAAAATGTGGAGAGACCTGATTACATTTCTTTTCAAAAGGTTTTCTCTAGATTCTTTGTGGTGCGTGGTGTTTGGAAGGCAAGAGTAAAGAAAGGAAAAGGCTTAGGAGGCTTTATATGGCTGGGTGAGGAAAGAAAGGATCTTGACTGAAGGTGAGAGAGAATGAGATAAAAGAATGTGGTGACTTTAGGAGATATTTTGAATATGGGATGTACTGATGTTTGGGATGGGGAAGAGGGAAAGAAAGGAAACAAGGATTTTCAGGTTTCTGGCTTAAACAGTTGGGTGGATGGTGGTCTGGGTTACTGAGAAGGGAAAGCTAGGAAAGAACTGAACTGGGGTCTCTAAAAATTGGGAGTAGATAAAATTAAAGCAGTGTGCGAAATTCCTGAGGAAAAGGAAAGAAGGGTGAAGGGTCAAAATGTTGAGAAAATCTGGACCTGTTGTGGAGAGCCATGGAGGAAAGGAATATAAAGCAATTGGGAAAATTGCAAATTTCTTTTTCTTTCTTCTTCCTTCCTTCCTTCCTTTCTTTCTTTCTTCCTCTTTCTTTCTTTAACAGAAGGCAAAGTAGGAGGAAAAGGGAGTTAGGAAAGGGTTGGAGATTATGAAGGTGGGACAGAAGTTAGACTGCAGTGTGACTGTGAACTTCATGAAGGTAGAATCATGTTGTGTTTGCTTACAGTGGTGTCCCCAGTTTCAGATGCAGAGCCTGTCTAATAGCAGTTGCTTAGATTTTTTTGAAATGAATAACTTAATGAGTGTGTTATGTTTTAGATATGAGGTATCCCCCAAAAGCTCGTGTGTAAGACAACACAAGAAGATTTAGAAGTGAAATGATTGAGTTATGAGAGCCTTAACCCAATCAGCGCATCAATCCCCTGATATGGGTTAACTGGGTAATAACTGGAGGCAGGTAGGGTGTGGTTGGAAGAAGTAGGTCGTTGGGGGTGTGGGTTTATATTTTGTTCCTGTTGAGCAGAGCTCTCTCTGCCCCGATTGCTACATCTTGAGCTGCTTTCCTCTTCCACACTTTCCGCCATGGTGTTCTGCCTCACCTTGGGATCCAGAGCAGTGGAGTCAGCCATCTATGGACTGATACCTCTGAAACCCTGAGTGCTGAATAATTTTTTCCTCCTCTAAAATTGTTCTTGTCCTGTCTTTTGGTTATGGTGGCACAAAAGTTGACTTAGGAGTGGATCATGAGAGTGTATAGAATTCAGCAGAGATGAAACATCTTTTAATAAATTTGAAAATGAAGGAATAAGGAAAGACATGTTAACTAGAGAAATGTTTAAATTTCATGTGTGTGTGTGTGTGTGTATGTGTGTGTGTAGATTACCTGTAGAGAGGAAAGATGCAAGATACTGGAACAGAAAGGGATACAATGACATATAAATACCAGTGGGGTGCTATTTACTGTTTAATAACTGACCTTCCAAAGGGGAATTCTAATTTATAGTGTTTGCCAATTTACATATAAATATTTCTAACATGGCTAATTTCAAGCACAAGTGTGACATCACTGATGAGATTGGGTTTGCCTGCCATTATGCAGTGTTTCTACCAGACAGATTTAATAGACATAAAGTCTCAAGAGCATAGGTAACAGTAAAGTGAAGTGACAAGCTTTGAGTCCTTACTAACTTTGCTTTAAGGGCAGTTTATTTAAGTTTATATAATTTAATTTTCAATAATGGTTGTTTTTAATAATCAGCTTATAAAATTTCTGACAACATAACAGCTGTTCCAACACCCCAATGAAGAAGGTCCTTCAGGGGGTGGGAGAAGATTTTTATCTGTTGTCTATGTGTTATCCCACGCACCATCACTGTATCTGCCGAGGGTTGATATTGTAATTCCCACTACTGTGAGCAAACTGAGAATCTTAAAGGTTAACAAACTTTGGTTGGTCCAATTTACAAAGTTAGTATGTGGTAGAGTTGGGATTAGAACCAAGGCTCCTTGACTCCTATACCTGCACTTTGCCTCTTGCCACACTCTGAAGTTCACAGTTGAGGACTTAGCTCTGAAGTGGAAGCAGACTCTGCTATCATTCTGCGAGGGGCTGTTCCCCGTTGAACTCTCATGGGTAGAATGATTCTTGCAGTCATCCATGTGTCCACAAATGAGACACCTTGATTTGCTTGGACATTGGTGCTGGTACCTTTGAATTGGGGAGAATTTGGGTGCTAACACATGGAGTTTAGTGATGTGCTTTTGTTGGTTACTTTTTATTTTTTCAACTCTAAGCACCAGGCTGTTTTGAAAAGGGCAGTGGAGAGCCGTGGACTGCACATCCAGAAGTAGGCCACCAAGTTAATGTGTTTCTGGGCAAGGACCATTTCTCCTCCTTGAGAGTAAAAGTTGTCATAGATTTCCTCTTTGGGAAAGAAAAGTGCCACATATTTAGATATAAGTGTGATTAGTATTAAAATTTTTTTTGAACAGTATGCTTATGCCTTTGTCAGAAAGTGATCAGGTAAATCAAGAAAAAGTTCAAAGATGCAATCCTATTCTACCATCTCTGATTCTGTAGATAGAGCATTTAAATCATGGCTCTATCACTTGATTCTGAACCAGTTATTTTACCTCTGTGAGCCTACATGTAGCACACTATTCTCAGACTGGCTGTCAGGATCAAAAGTAGTGTGTATCACAAGCATGTAAATCTGCTCCTGGTCTACCATGGCCCTTCACTGAGCAGACAACATGGTTTTATTATTAGCTTGGTATTGTGAATACTGTATTATTACTCTCATGTGGGTTTCTGATCCCCAGGATGTATTGTGCAAGTGATGAGCCTTCAGGGAATGAGTTTGTATGGGAGTTTCATTTTTTGGTTGAACTTCTGCAACTTTGGTTGCATGCATTGGTTTGGGCTAACAAAAAATTGGGCTAACCACTATCAGGTGAAGTG